CGTTGGCTCAGGAAATCAGTATCCTAGCACCTATGTAAAACCTTACTGAGACTAGCTTAAGTTTAATTAATATATGAGAGACGTCTTGTTTAGGCTCTTCCAAAACACAAAGCCTGAAATATCCAATCTTATCCGATTCAAGCACACGCTGATCGGGAAGCATGGCTAGCGTGGCGGTTTACTGAGCCGAGTGCATTGATACACCTATAGGTTTCTAAGGTAGAGAAGGGGGCTTATGGTCGGTGTACAAGTACACTGGCTGGGTAACGGAGGGTGCGTCTTCCAGGAAAGGGGAGCATGTGCGCCCGATGCACCCGACTACAACTTTTTTTCTTCGAGTGCAGTTGGGAAGTAAATATGTGGAGCACTAACCGAAAAATCGTGGATGTGGTATCCGCGCTAAGAGTGCCGCGCAGCGACAGAGCGGTATTGTTAGCGCGAAAATGACGTGGGCGCTGTTTTCGTATTTTATTTTCATAGAACAACGACGGGCAAAGTATTTTCCCACTTCTGGTAATGTTCCAAATGAACATATCACACGACAGTGCTAGTTAAGACAATAGCCTTTCAAGTCTAACGAAAAAAAAAACTGAATAAAACGGTGATCGTTTGCTTGCGCTAACAGTGTTCGCGCGATGCACGCACTAATATCCTGAGAACCACTCGCTCATGATGCTTCTCTCGCTGCCCGTCGTTATGCCAAAGTTTCGTCAACGCGATGAAAGTTTAGATTATGGGTGTCCCTGCGGCGAAACTGAAAATCAGCACCTTTGGCCGAACACTTGCTGGCCGTCTTTATGTCCCCGGCGGCCAAGTTGAAAATCAGCATTTCCGGCCGAACACTTGCCGGCCATGTTTATGTCCACGGCGGCCAAGCTGAAAATCAGCACTTCTGGCCAAACACTCGCCGGCCGTATTTATGTTTCCAGCGGGCAAGCTGAAAATCAGCACTGCTGGCCAAACACTTGCCGGCCGTGTTTATGTCTCCGGCAGCCAAGCTGAAAATCAGCACTGCTGGCCAAACACTCGCCGGCCATGTTTATGTTTCTGGCGGCCAAGCTGAAAATCAGCACTACTTGCCAAACACTTGCCGGCCGTGTTTATGTCTCCGGCGGCCAAACTGAAAATCATCACTTCTGGCCAAACACTTGCCGGTCGTGTTTATGTCCCCGGCGGCAAAGCTGAAAACCAGCACTTCTGGCCAGGCGCTTGCCGGCAGTGTTTATGTCTCCGGCGGACAAGCTAAAACAGCTTGTTTATGGCCGGACTCTTGCCGGCCTTGTTTATGTCTCCGGTGGCCAAGCACTTAAAGTGGCCAAGCTGTCCAGACACTGGCCAACCGTCGGCCGATCGAAATTCACTTTCTGGTGCTGCTTGGGCAGTGCATAAACTCTGGAGATTCTCGCTACGAGCATATAGCCTCAGGTAATGCCTTTATCGCCAAGGTTAATTATCCTTTACACCGGCTCGTGCTGGTAGCATGCGAATGATGAAAGGGCGACTGCGGTTACAATGGTTTTTGCATTTTGCAGCAACATTGGCATCGGTGTTCTTGGTGTTTCATGCTTATGCATTTCTGCCGTTCCTGCACTACAATCCGCACAAAGCTTTAAAAAGCTCATCCTGAATACCTGCCCAGCCCTGCTATCGTCGGCGGTGCCAGCATCGACAAAAATGGCGGCACGAATGGAACATAACAAATTCTGGTCTATAGAAGCAAAGTTCTCTGTGTAAATTTTCTGACATGGATATTGTTCTGGTTGATCTTGTTAAGCAAGGTAGTAAACTGTAACGGCATGTTACCTTTGGAGTAACCTATTCAGGCATGATTTTGCATTTTATTGCCCTTCTTTCTGTAATATGCGTGCAGGTATCTAGAAAGAAGGTACCGCAAGAGAAGAGCTGCAGGAGAAGCTAGGCACGCCAATTATCCAGGTAGATGTCTTTTATGATATTCATCATCCTGGATCAATAGTGCGATAAGGTATTCACTGTGTGCAATATCAGGCAGGTCTTGTTGTCATGCCCCAGCGGCCCTGGCTTTGTTGCAGCCCAGACGGCCTCATGATGTTAGACGTTGAGACGGTGCTGGTAGAAAATAAATGCCCAGAAACCTGCCAGGACTGCCTGATTCTGGATCGTGCCGAAAGTCGGTACAATGTTTCCTACCTTGTATACAGAAAAGGTGATCTGTCACTTGAGCCACCTCACCCATACTACACCCAAGTGCAGGTTCAGCTGTATGTGCTGAACCCGCAGAAGGCAGTATTTTATTTCTATAGCCCGAAAGGCTCAGAGTCCATCCTTGTGAAAAGAGAGGATGGATTTCTTGCAGAGACCATCCCAAAACTAGAACATTTTTACTTCACCTATTTTTTCCCAATTATTTGCAAATGAGGGTTTCAATGCTTATGAAACACAGCAAGTCGCATTTATTGCACAGATGAAAGTGTAACAGCAGAAAACATGTCACAAGGAAAATTGAAATGCTACATGAACCAGTCTCATTTTTATGTTCTGGCAAAGGTATTTCGGGCCACTGTATTGCTCTTACAAATAAAGTCTTCTTGTACACAAAACTGCTTTCAGACTTACAAGTCTACATTTCCAGTGACAGTGACTTGCACTGCGTTCAGAATTTGCGTTAAACTCACTGGATTCCACACTGGAGTGTTTTTTTTCCCTTGATCATTTATATTCAATTTGTCATCCATGCATGACTAGCCGTCGTAACCTTCACCAAGAAAAAATAGTGGTGGGTTTAACATTGGCACATTATATGACGTAAAAAAGGAGCTCAGACTGGTTACACTTTATAAAACAAATCTAAGCACTACACACAGCGATGTTCGTTTAAATTGCACGCAAATTCGTATCGAGCGTTTAGGCAGTGCAATGCCTGTCTACCTTTAGGAGGTGGTGGTTAATTTCAAGCACCAAACATATCTTGAACATGAAACAAGGTAGAGATGACTGATTCGGGCACAAGGTTACAAACCAATTTCAGTACTGGAATGGGGCAACACTCCCACTAACTAGATCACCAGTGAGCAAGTGAATATTTTTTTTACTCGGATTCTCAAGAAAAAAAAGTGTCTTGAATATAGTTCAAACGCTTCATGAAGTTTTATAGTGAAAACATTAACTGTCCCATGGAGCGAGCCGACGCCATGAGCTTGGAAGCCGCGCCAAATGGCACGTAAACGTGCGCTCCGCCGTCGACGCAAGTATGTTGAAGACTAAATAAGGAAGCGAAATAATGACATGCATGCTTCCGCATTCACAACTCATAAGAAGTGCTTAGGTGTGCCTCCAGCCCTTTTTCTTACAGAATTTGGTTGACAGTAAACGAAAAAAAATTTCTTACTTTTGAAAGCTGTGTGCTATCATAAACTATACGAAACGAAATACACCTTGTATGCCCATAAAAGTGCATAAACTGCCACACAAATGATGAAATTAGTTATGCTACCCGTGGAGAAGAAGTTTTCTTTTACTACGGTTCTTGAGGTGAAAGTGAGGACACACTCTTTGACGATCCCTCACATGGTACTTTCACTGCAATTAGCTTCTGTCAAATAGACCGATTTCACCAAATGTTTGGCGCATGGGTGATGCCGCCATAACTTTACTTCTCAGGAGGCAACCAGCAGTGCACGATATTGCTCATACTATCTCGTGCTCTGCACATGCAGAGTTTAGGCGAGGTTGTCTCAAATGCAGAAAAACTAAAGTTCCCACTACGCACCGCAGCAGCGTAGCTGAACTGGTTGGTGAGATCAGACTCTTGGAGGCAACCTGGCTACTTTCACTTCACATAAAACCACGGACTGCAAGACGTTTCCGCCTAAACTATGATCTGTGGGGCCTACTGTAAACGACTTAAAGGTTGTCCATGAGAGCTTGACGCATGTTTTGAGGAAATATCCTGCATCCTACTTGCTTAAAGGAAATAAAGCTGAATGTCATAATTTTTGTATGGAAAAAGGAGAAATGTAGCTTAGGAATGGGGAACAATAAAGGACAGTCACGGTACAACTTCTAACTAGAGACAATGTTTATTTCCACTGAAGCTTGTCTGTTACTATACAAACTTCGGTGCAAATAAATACTGTATCTTGTTGGGAAGTTGTACTGTGTCCATCCTTTATTTTCCTTCCTTCCTGAGCTACGTGTACTTTACTACATGCTCGTTCTGACTTGGAAGGAGACATCTTACTTTTTTATAATGAGTGCCTGCATGTTGACAAGAGCTCAGCAAACTTGAATAACCTGGTTCATCTGTGGGATAAGCGCGAGTGGAACTGTGTGCTTCAGAATGTGAAAAGTTTTGAGCCTCTGTATTACCCTTTCTACATGAATGCGAACCTGTTCGATGCGGTAAGTATTGTCCATGTCCTCCTGAGAAAACTGCTGACCAGCACTGGAGAATGGCGGCATGGCGAGGACAGCACTCTTTTCAGCCACTGTAGTTCGGATGCTTGGAAAGCCCTTGTCGCTTAAAACAACATCACCGGGCTGAACCAGGGACAGAAACCCAGAGTTTACAGTAATGTTGCTGTCACTTTGTCGGCCCCCATAGATTTCTTAGATATAAATAAAATCATGCCATTGGGAATTATGCCAATCAGCAATTTGACGGTGTAACCACTTTTGTAGCTAGAGTACAAGTAGTGTTGTTGCTCAGGGTCAGATGGCGATTCAGTTTTAATTTCTGTCCGATCAATAATGAATGTGCAATCTGTGTAATGCGTCTTAAAGGCTTGCGGTAGCGACTCCTTGATAATTTCACGGGCTGGCGCAAATACCCATCGTTCAAGCCTCACACTAAGAGTGTCCATCAGTGTCCTGAAGATCCGAGAAGCTGTGGTCTTGTGGACGGAAAAGAGAGCGGCCAGTGCGGTGTAACTGATCCCCAACTTAAGTTTCATGAAGAGAACGAGTTTGTCCTCGGCCGGAATGTCACTACTACTGTACCTGGTTGCGGGTGTCAAGACACAGTAGGAGGCTGAAAACAGTCATTGTGACACCGCATAGGTCCTGCAGTGCCTGCTCTGAATCCTTGAGAGACTGGAACCCAAGGAAACCGCACCTCCGTCGTCACTTTCTGTCTGTGCTAGGGGCCGTGCTTGGGGCCGTGCTTGGGACCGTGCTTGGGGCCGTGCTTGGAGCCGTGCTTGGGGCCGTGCTTGGGGCCGTGTTTTGGGCCGTGCTTGGGGCCGTGCTTGGGGCCGTGCTGGGAGCCGTGCTTGAGGCCGTGCTTGAGGCCGTGCTTGGGACCTAATGGTTGGAAGGAAAATCGGAATAAAACATTCCTATTTAACACAGCGGCATAGGATAGAAACTGAGTTATGACATTCTCCCATAGAGAATATTAATATTGTAGCGATTACCGCTTACAAGCTGTTCATTTAATGGACGTCCGCTTGCTTTGCTCGTAGGCTTCCAACTCCCGCGAGCACTCCGTCTTCTTCTCTTCGTTGTCTTCTTTTCCGCGACATCAGCTTCGCTACATTATCCCCCTCCCGTCTTCTGGAATTTTATCCAAGTTTAACGAAGTCCTTCATACAACGACAGTCGATCACGGTGAACCACGAGAGCCCGGGATCGATCGTTTTGACGTATGCGATAGACCACGTCACTGAGCCGTTTCACGATTGTAAAAGGTCCTTGCCAGTGACGCTGCAGCTCTGGGGACAGTCCTCGTTTCCGAACCGGGTTATACGACCATACCCTGTCGCCTGGTGAAAAAGGGCGTGATGTGACGTGTGCGTCATACTGGCTCTTCATGCGATCGAGGCCGCTTGACAGCCGTTGTCGAGCAAATGCGTCCATTCGCTCGAGATTTGTTCTCAGTTTGCTCACGAAAGACACAGGGTCTGTGGCCGGTTCTGATGCTCGTGGGATGGTTAGTTCACAGGGCATACGAAGGTCATGGCCGAGCAGCATCATCGCTGGCGTGTAACCGGTGACCTCGTGAGCTGCTGTACGGTATGCGTACAAAAATAGCTGCACGATGGTGTCCTAGTCATCTTGACGATCATTTACAAATATCGACATATGTTGTAAGATGGTTCGGTTCATTCTTTCTACCAAGCCGTTTGACTGCGGGTGGAAAGGTGTGGTCCTCGTTGTGGCGATGTTGAATATCTTGCAAACTTCTTTAACCACGTGAGATTCAAAGCTCCTGCCTTGATCCGAGTGAATGCTCAGGGGCGCCCCGTACCTGGTGATCCAATTCCTCACCAGGGCGTCAGCAATTTCAGGGGCGGTCTGGTTTGGAATTGGAATAACCTCCGGCCACTTTGTAAAGTAGTCAACAATGACTAGCAAAAACCTGTTACCAGATTTAGATCGGGGAAGTGGGCCTAGCACGTCAATGCCAACGCGCTCAAAAGGCGCCCCCGTCACATGCTCTTGAAGCGGTGCTCGCTGTTTGGCGTGAGGTCCTTTACGGGAGGCGCACATGTCGCACTGTCGACACCACTGCTTCACGTCACTGTGGCACTGCAGCCAGTAGAAACGTTGGCGAATCTTCTTTATCGTGCGATTCACGCCGAAGTGTCCTCCTTCTGGACTGCTGTGCAGTTGTTGAAATGCGTGGGAGCAGAGTGTGTGTGGCAGAACCAGTTGCCAGACGACAGAGCCACCCGCAGCGGACTCCCAGCGTCGATAGAGAACGTTGTCGCGAAGGTACAAAGAGTCCCATTGCACCACGTAGCCCTTAAGGGTAGCAGATAAGCTGGATACCTCCTTGCCTTGAGGTCGTCTATTCTTCGTTTTCCACTGTATGAGCAGGCCGATGTCTGGATCGTCAAGTTGAGCTGCCCGAAGACTTTCCGGTGTCCACATTTCGTTGCCACAAGGAATTGTTTTGAGTGAGATGCAGCTGCGTTTTTCAATGCTTGTGCACTGCTTGCACGACTTCTCACCGCATGGTCGACGCGAAAGGCTGTCGGCATTGGTGTGGAGTGAGCCGGGGCGATGCTGTATGTCGACGTTGTATTGGTGAAGGCGTTCCAGCCATCGGGCGACCTGTCCATCAGGGGTTTTAAAACTCGACATCCAAGTCAATGATGCGTGGTCGGTTCGGATAATGACTTTCCGTCCCAGAAGATAATGATGGAAATGGGTTATGGCCTTGATGATGGCCAAAAGTTCGCGTCGGGTGGTGCAGTAGTTGCGTTCTGGCTTCGTAAAAACCTTACTATAATACGCAATGACTCGCTCATGTCCATCTTGTTCTTGCGATAGTACAGCACCGGCTGCCGAGGCGCTAGCGTCGGTGTCAAGGATGAATGGTGTTGTGTCTTTTGGGAAGGCAAGAGTTGGTGGAGATGTGAGGGCCGTTTTGAGTGTCTCGAAGGCCAGTTGGCATTCTGGGGACCACACAAACGGAGCTTTCTTTTCTGTCAGGATATACAAGGGCTTGGTGATGTCGGCGAAACTAGGGACGAATCTTCGATAATAGGATGCCAGCCCAATGAAGCTTTGAACGTCAGCGGTGGATCTTGGGGTTGGCCACTCGGCAATAGCAGAGAGTTTCCGAGGATCTGTGGAAACTCCGTCCGTCGAAATGATGTGCCCGAGGTACTCAACCTGCTTTGTGCACAGCGAACATTTCTTTGGAGTAAGCTTTAGGTTTGCCTTTTGAAGTCGTGCAAGCACAAGCTCGAGATTCGCCAGGTGATCGGAAAGTGTCTTGCCCAATACCACAATGTCGTCGAGGTATACAAGACAAACTCTGCCTATGAGACCATGCAGCATAGATTCCATTAGTCTCTGGAATGTAGCCGGGGCGTTGCCGAGCCCGAATGGCATCACTCGGAATTGAAATGAGCCATGACCTGTACTGAAGGCAGTCTTTTCTCGGTCATCCGGGTGTACGGGAACCTGCCAATATCCACTCTTAAGGTCAAGCGTAGAAAACCACTCGCTGCCTGCGAAAGCGTCCAAGATATCGTCAGTTCGAGGCAAAGGAAAGGAGTCCTTTTTGGTGACATCATTAAGTCGTGGATAATCCACGCGAAAACGTGCTGACCCGTCCTTTTTCTTCACCAGTGTGACTGGTGAAGACCAAGGGGAACACGCGGGTTCAATCACGCCCTGCTGTAGCATGGTCTTTATCATGTCGTTAACAGATGACTGCAGTGCAAGGGGAACTCGCCGAGGAGACTGTCGTACAGGGGTAGCCTGTCCCGTCACGATGTGGTGTGTTGCTGCTGATGACAAGCCCATATCACTGTCCCCCGTGCTGAAAAGCTTTGTAAATGTTTTAAGTAGCTGATGAAGCTTACCCGCGCAGGTTTTATCGAGGCCAACAGTCGCGCCCTCGTAGAGAGGTAACACGTGTGGGTCCAGCTTGGTTGGTAATACGTGGGGACACGGACACGGGAACTCGGCATTTATTGGGAGTCCACTGTCGCAAAGAACCGTCACTGTGGCAGCACCCAGGGGAAACGAGTCAGTTCCCAAGTGCAGCAATCCGGCATTGAAGTCAAGCACGCATTTGTGTGCTTTGAGAAAATCAACGCCAAGAATGCACTGCTCCTCGACAGCCGCGACGACAACGGGCAAAGCAGCTTGAAGGCTTCCCACGGTGAAAGGCACGGTAGTGTAGCCGAGTACAGCTACCGTCTCCCCTGTTGCGGTCTGTAGAGCATAGCCACCGGAGTTTGCTGGGACAACTCGGTTTGCTGGGACAACTCGGTTTGCTTTCACCAGAACTTCTGGCCGGATTACAGAGGTAGTTGCGCCGGTATCGACAAGCGCACGCACTGGTACCCCGTCTACTTCGCCTTGGAGGTAGATGGAAGTCAAAGATGAAGCCAAGACGCGAGTTGACGTAATTCTTCTTGGAGCCATTGTCGTTGAGGTCCGGTTACCAGAGCCAAGGTCATGGTTTCGGCACTGCGACCGCGTGTGACCTTGCTGGTGGCAATTCCAGCAAATTGGAGCTGGAGGTGTTGGCGTCTTTATAGCTGGAGTTTGCGGTTGCATGAAGGACTCTACACGCGTGGATCGAGATGCCTGTCGGGCAGCCTGTACCTCCAAGGCACAAGTGTGTGCTACCCGCAGAGTCTTAGGGCGTGCGAGGCGAACCGCATCCTGTACCTCAACAGACGAGATGGCGTCGATAAATGCCATGGTAGCGACAGCCTCCACCGTGTCCTCTGGGCAGCCTGGGAACGCAAGACGTGCGAGGCGTTCAATGTCATCCGCGAGGTCGGAGATGGTCTCCAGCGCAGACTGACGACGGTTGCGAAGTTGTGCATGATGAAGGAACCGAAGCGGCCCTTCCCCAAAGCGCTCGTCCAATGCCGCGACCAAAGCCTGGTAGGATTGACGTTTTTCAGGTGCCAAATGATGCAATAGGGTCAACGCTGGTCCGGCGAGATGGGCGGCCAAGGCTTGAGCCTTTTGGGCCGCTGACCAATGGTTCGCGTCAGCGATGAGGTTGAATTGCAATATGTAGGAGGGCCAAGGAGCGGTACCGTTGTATGTGGATGGTTTCAGTCGCAGGCTCTGGTGTCCCAAGGGGGTTTGGGCTGGAGCGTCAACGACACGGGGCTCCATGGGGTCAGGCAATCGGTCCTCTAGACGCTGGAGGCGTTGGGAGAGAGATTCTGTCAATTCCCGAAAGGAAGAGGTTGCGCTTTGCAGAAGCTGACTCTCCCGCCGTGCGTAGGAGGCTTCGGCATGCTGGAGGTGGTTGGTTATAAGGGCTACGAGTTGGGAAGCTGGTGGGTCCGAGGCGGCCAGATTTCCGGCGCTGACACTTGCGGTGTGTTCACCTTGGGAAGTGGATTCCATGCAAGGCCAAGATTCCGAGACATTCGGGCTAGTTTCAAAACTTCCCACCACGCGGCGCTCAAAGACCAACCTGCAGAATATTTTTCAACCAGAAAAAAGTTCCCCTCGCCACACTTCCCATTTCCTCCTCTCCCACAGTTGACTTGACGGCGGGGAGACTCCTTTTGTTGCTGCATCTCGGGGCCAGATAAGCCAAGCTAAGCGCATAATGGGCGATTTGCGGCGGGAGGCACAGCGACCCCTTTCCTCCGGCGATACCAGAGAAGCGCCCGAAACCGAACTCTCCTTTCTGCAGCATTTCAGAGCCTAGCCTCTCGGTTTTGTCTCTGAATTTTCGTTTTGTTTTGCGATAAGCATGCTTGGCTACTCCGAGCATTTGACTGCTTCTGCCGTCCATGTAAAGTGACCCAAGGCCATGTGAGGATGGGCATAGGCTAAGGGCCATCGTCCAAGAACCCTAGAGTTCG